GTAAATTCTCTATCTAAAAGTAAAAATTAAATAATAAAATAAACTTTAATTAAGTGCAGCAGCAGCAGCAGCAGCAAACGGCGCTGCAGCGCAGCGCCACAATCGGCCTGCTGCAGCAGCACAGCCCTGCCGTCCCCCGCCGCCCTGCTGCTGCTGCTGCTGCTGCTGCTGCTGCAGCTGGCAGACTGCCTCGCCGCGAGCATTCAAAATAGGGGCTAAGTGTGCTTGCTGTTAAACCCTAAACCCTAAACCCTAAACCCCTAAAACTGTTAAAGTTCCCAAGGAAAAAGCAGCAGCAGCAGCAAAGGAAGGTGAGGGGCCACAGCTTGCTTGTCTTGCCTCTGTGGGTGCTGCTGCTGCTGCTGCTGCTGTGTGTCTTTTTGCTGCTGCTGCTCTTTTACCCTGGTGGATGAGGGAAGCAGCAACAAATAAACGGAACAGGCTGTAAACTCAGCAGCAGCAGCAAGAGCAGCAGCAGCAGCAGCAACACACTCGCTGTCTCTGTCTCATCGGCGGTGTAGTTTGGAGTCCCTTACAGACTTCTAGCCTCCTGAAGCTGCTGCTGCTGCTGCTGCTTGTGCTGTTGCCTACATTGTTGCTGCTGCTGCTGTGTCGCTGGCTGCTGGCGCTCGTGCTGCCGCAGCAGCAGCAGCGGTGGCAGCAGCAGCAGCAGCAGGAGTGCGTGTAGCTCTAGAGTCTGCTGCCTCCGTGTCTTCTGCGTGTTTCGGTTCCAGGAGCAGCAGCAGCAGCAGCAGCAGCGCCTCTTCCGTCTCCCACAGCAGCAGCAGCAGCAGCAGCAGGAGTTTGTCGGCACCCACTTGCCTCCCCGCGCGTTTCTCCCTTTGTCCCGGCTAGCTGCTGCTGCCTCTGCTGCTGCTGCTGCTGCTGCTGCTGCAACAATGTGGTCGGCCCCACACTGCGCCTGCTGCCAGCAGCTGCTGCAGCGGCTTGCTGCTTGTCCCTTCATGTCTTGTGTCCTTTTGCTGCTGGCAGCTTTTGCTGCGCTGCGGCTCATAGTTGCTTTCGTGACTCTTTGCTGCTACACCGGAAAGGTAGGCGCTGCTGCTGCTGCTGCTGCTGCAGCAGCTGCTGCTGCTGCTGCTGCTGTTGCTGCTGCCTTTTTTGTTTCGAATGTTTCTTTTTGTCTCTCTTTTGCTTCTATCTATTCTTCTTTTCCTCTTTGTTTCCCTTTTATTTATCCTTTTATTTATTTATTTAATTTTGTTTTCATTTTTAATTTTTGCTTTTTTTGTCTTTTGCTGCAGCGTTTGCCGCTGCTGCGTGCCCTCTTCATTTCTTTTTGTTGCTTTCAATTTCTTTTTCATTAATTTAGTTAATTTGATTAATTTAATTAATTTAATTAATTTAATTAATTCAACTAATTCAACTAATTTGAGTAATTTAACTAATTTAATCAATTAATTTAATCAATTCAATTAATTTAGCTATTTTACCTTTCCCTTCTATCCCGCACTTCGCCGTTGCTGCTGCTGCTGCTGCTGCAGCGGCTGCAGCAGCTGCTGCTGCCGCGGGGGGCCCCCGGGGGGGGCCCCGGGGAGTGGGCCCTTATAACTGGGGCCTCAGATGGAATTGGAAAAGCCTTGGCTAGCCAGCTAGCCAAGGCAGGAGCTAGCCAGCTGCTGCTGGTGGCCCGCAGCGAAGAAAAGCTCAAGGATGTTGCCACTGAAGTCCGCTGCTGCTGCTGCTGCTGCTGCTGTTTGTGCTGCTGCTGCTGCTGTTTATGCTGCTGCTGCTGCTGCTGTTTATGCTGTTGCTGTTGAGGGGGGCGCTCTCGGTGTCGGGGTGCGGACGGGGGGTGGTTTGACGTGCAGCAAGAAGATGCTGCTGCTGCTGCTGCTGTTGCTGCTGCTGCTGCTGCTGCCACTGTTGGTGGTGCTGCTGCTGCTGGTGCTGTTGCCGCTGCTGCCGTTGGTGTTGCTGGTGTTGCTGCTGCTTGCTTTGTTGCTGCTGCTGCTGCTGTTGACGCTGCTGGTGCTCCAACCGCTGCTGCTGCTGCTGCTGCTGCTGCAGCTGGAGCTGACAGCAAGTGGCCCGCTGAAGGTGTGTCGTTTGGTGGTGGACTTTGCTGCTGAAAGTTCGGAGGAGATTTTCAAGAAAGTCTCGGAAGCAATTAAAGACAAAAACATTTCTCTCCTCGTCAACAACGCAGGCATCTCCTACCCCCACGCAATGGTCTGCTGCTGCTGCTGCTGCTGCAGCTGCTGCTGCTGGGGTTGGGGTGGTTGGGGTGCTGCTGCTGCTGCTGGGGTTGGGGTGGTTGGGGTGCTGCTGCTGCTGCTGGGTGGGGTGCTGCCGCTGCTGCTGCTGCTAGGGGTGCTGCTGCTGCTGCTTCTTCTGGTGATGGTAGTGCTGATCGTGATAATGCTGCTGCTGCTGCTGGATTTAGGGTTTAGGGTTTAGGGTTTAGGGTTTAGGGTTTGTGGGCAGTACTACGACGAGGTGCCTCTTTCTCTTATCGAAGAGCTGATTGACGTCAACGTCAGGTCCGCCCTCGTTGTCACCCGCGCAGTCCTCCCGGGTCAGCTAGGGTTTAGGGTTTAGGGTTTAGGGTTTAGGGTTTAGGGTTTGGGGTTTGGGGTTTTGTGGCGGGAAGGGCGTTTAGTGTGGAGGTTTGAATTGAGCTGCGGATCTCGTGCTGAACAGTCCCTGGCAGCGCTCCGGGGCCGAGGGTTTAGGGTTTAGGGTTTAGGGTTTAGGGTTTAGGGTTTGGCGCAGGCATGAAGGCGCGAAAGAAGGGTTTGGTGGTTTGCGTCGGCAGCAGCAGCTCCGAGCTGCCCTCAGACCCTCTCTATTCAGCTTATGCTGCTTCCAAAGGCGCAGTGGAGGCCTTTTGCCGCTCCCTCCAGGTAGGGTTTAGGGTTTAGGGTTTAGGGTTTAGGGTTTAGGGTTTAGGGTTTAGGGTTTAGGGTTTATTTTGGGGTGAGCTGCTCGGGCCTGGCGAGAGAGGCTGCAGGCTTTAGGGTTTGGGGTGTAGGGTTTAGGGTTTAGGGTTTGGAATGAGCGGCTGGGACCACGCCAGCGAGGGTTTAGGGTTTAGGGTTTAGGGACTCTTTTTCGACTTTAGTTCTGCTGCACGGGCCCAGCTGCTTCTTTCCCGCTTAAGGAGCAGCTGCTGCTGCTGCACCTGCTGCTGCTGCGCCTGCATCCGCGCTGCATCTTCCTTTGCTTCCTGCTGCTGCTGCTGCTGCTGCTGCTGCTGCTGCTGCTGCTGCTGCTCAGGTGGAAGCTGCACCCTTCGGCATTGATGTGCAGTGCCACGTGCCG